AGCTGAGCGGCAGTCCCGCCCCTTCCCGGGAGGGGTGTGGCTCCGCGCGTTCCCAGAACCCCGCCCGCGGCCTGGCAGACACCGGAGGGGGACTTTCTGGGGACCGGATTGGACCAGTGAGTGTTGACGTAGATCTTCCTCCCCAACCACGTTACCTCCGGGTGCCGAGACCCTCAATTCCGTATCAAAGAAATTGCACCCCGCCCCGAGTCCCATACTGTAGAAACCTAGGATGGCCAAAACCTGCAAAAACTCACCGGACCTGCAAGACTCCAACTACCTGCACTCCCCAATCCAGCACCAGGGAAAACTGGTTGGGCTCCCCCTACAGGCTGAGTGACTAGTCCCACCTCCTCATACCTTAAGAGGGTGGGAAGGGAGTGACACCATTGCTTAAACCAGGGGTGGGCAAACTTTGACACGAAGGCCACAATGGGTTCTTAAACTGGACCGGAGGGCCGGAACAAAAGCATGGACGGAGTGTTTGTGTGAACTAATATAAATTCAAAGTAAACATCATTACATAAAAGGGTACGGTCTTTTTTTTTTTTTAGTTTTATTCATTTCAAACGGGCCGGATTCTGCCCGCAGGCCATAGTTTGCCCCAAGGCTGGGTCTGGCTTAAACCAAAACCGAGGACTTGTTTGGGTAGCTGGGTGGGGACATCAGTGGAGACTTGGGAAAATGACCAACAGGGTCCTCATGACAGCTAGCATTCCCTGGCAATGTCCCCAGAATTAGCAAGAAAAGTCACAAAGGAAGCCATAGGTGTATAAACTATTTATTAACAGACGAGGCCTACAGACTTATTTCTTCTTGGACACACCCACAGTGCGACCCCGGCGGCCTGTGGTCTTGGTGTGCTGGCCTCGAACACGAAGACTGTAGGTGAGAAAAGAAGGATCACAGGTCATTCACATCACACAAAACACCTGGGAAGAGAAGGCAGCACCAAGGGAAAGGAGACCTCCACCCAGACTCACCCCCAGAAGTGGCGCAGCCCTCTGTGGGCCCGAATTTTCTTCAGCCGCTCCAGGTCTTCACGAAGCTTGTTGTCCAGACCATTGGCCAGGACCTGGGTTCAGAAGAGGGTGAGGGATGCTTAGATTACCCCCGACCTCTGTTGCCCTGCCTTTCTTCAATCTCTCATCTCAATACACACCTGGCTGTATTTCCCGTCCTTCACATCCTTCTGTCTGTTCAAGAACCAGTCTGGAATCTTGTACTGGCGTGGGTTCTGCATAATGGTGATCACACGTTCCACCTGGCAGGCAGGACACAGGTCAGATCCCGATGGCACCATTCCCAGGCAGGCCCAGCCCACAGGCCCCCTTCCTGGTCCTCACCTCGTCCTCTGTGAGCTCTCCTGCCCTCTTGGTGAGGTCGATGTCTGCTTTCCTCAACACCACATGAGCATATCTTCGCCCTACACCCTGAGAGGTTGTGGAATTGGGCTGGAGTTATTTTTTGGTTTCCTTTATTGCCCCAGTTGTTAAAAAAAAAAAGCAAAGTTAGGGCCTGCAACTGTCTAGGGCCGTGGCTGGCAACCTGCGGCTCACGAGCCACATGCGGCTCTTTGGCCCCTCGAGTGTGGCTCTCCCGAAGCCTTAGGAGTACCCTAATTAAGTTAATAACAATGTCCCTACCCCTATAGCTTAAGTTTAAAAAATTTGGCTCTCAAAAGAAATTTCAATTGTTGTACTGTTCATATTTGGCTCTGTTGACTAGTTTGCCGACCACTGGTCTAGTGCTTGCTCACGTGACCTGCACCTCACCCACTTTTCCAGATAAGAAGCTTAATGATTAAGTAGAAAAGAGGAAAATAGTTTTGTTCAGGCGCAGGGCTGGACCAAGAACTTGGGGCAGACATCCCCTGGAAAGCAGGAACGCCTTTCATATTGCCCAGCATGTGCACTTCCTGATAAATGCTGGCTATCAGACAAAGCAGTGGCACAAAGAGCCTGGCACTTGAAGCTGATACAGCTTCAAAGCAGGTCTGTTGGTCAGCAGGCTTGATCAGATAGGGCTGTCAGCTCCTGGAAACTAAAGGTCTTTGGACCAGCAACTGCATAGCCATGATCAGTGTTACGTATTAATTTTAGAGAGGAAGGAAGAGGGAGAAACATCCATTTGTTGTCGCACTTATTTATGCCCTTACAGTTGTTTCTTGTATATATCTTGATGGGGGATTGAACCCACAACCTTGCTGTATTGGGACGCATTCTAATCAACTGAGCTACCTGGCCAGGGCCACAACCATCAGTTTTTAAAGATCACAAACTTGATTCTGTCGGTGCTCAAAGTTGAGCAGGCCCTAGAGAAATTATTGCCCAAATCAAACTTACTGGTGGCATCATATAAACACCAACCAAACAGATCTGAACAGTGAAGGATGGTGACCTGGGTTCAATAGTGCCCCCCACCCAATGTATTTCCACCCAGAATCTCAGAATGTTACATTAGGAATCTTTGAAAATATGGTCAGAATGAGGCTATACTGCATCAGGACACCCCTAAATCCAATGACCCTATCTCACTAAAGGAGAGGACATGTAGACAAACAGGAAAAGCCATGTGATAACTAAGTCAAGAATTTGGAGTGGTGTGGCTGTAAGACAAAGGAATATTGAGGATTGCTGGTGACTACCAGAGGTTAAGAGAGGCAGACAGGATTCCTTGAGCCTACAGAGGGAGCATGCCCTGTGGACATCTTGATCTTGGCTATTTGGTCTACAGAACTGAGACCAGGTTCTGCTGTTTTAAGCCAAATCCGTGGTAACCTGTTACAACAGCCCAAGGAGAGTTGGTATTTCCTCTCTAAGAAAGTGACCTACGGCCCTGGCCAGTGTGGCTCCATTAGTTGGAGCCTAGTCCCGTGTACCAAAGGGTCTCAGGTTCAATTCCCTGTTAGGGCACATGCCCCGGTTGCAGGTTCCATCCCAAGTAGAGGTGTGAATGGGAGGCAACGGATTTGTTTCTCCCTCCCTTATAAAAAAAATAAGCCCTCAGGTGGATTTAATATGTGCAGATAAAATAGTATATGTTTGAGATTTACTTTAAAATATGCGTGGAAAGGGCATAGATGAAACAAGATTTTGTTTTTAGCTAGATGATACAGTAAACACCTCGATTTTATGGACCCTGATTTAATAGACTTCGGATTTAATGGACAAAATTTCCAGTCTGTATGTCATATGTGAAAATGAACACCTATTAATAACCAATATCAACCTATAATTAAAGCAACAAGTTGTTATTCAGTGATTTTTAACAAAATGTAGCAAGTAGGCCATACAGTGGGAAAAACACTAGTAATTTCGCTGACAAACATTACACAGCTACAATTAGTCTACATATTTAAGTCCAAGTTTCACTGCTCATAAACAATGTTCAGGGAATGATTAGCACATAATCACACTGCATTGTATGAGATAATTGGTTCTATTGTCGTGGGACTTTATGCAGCAGTTTTTAATTGATTTTAGAGATAGAGGAAGGGAGGGAGAGATAGAAGTGAGGAGGGCTACTTCCTGCCTGCTCCCTACTGGGATCCAGCCCACACCTGGACATGCCACACCAGCCTGGGCTCTGCAGTGGTTCTAACTCGTGCCAGGACGGGTGTTCCCCAGCCGGTGCATTTGTTTACTCATGGTGACTGCTGAACACACACACTTACTAGACCTATTAAGTATAAACTTAAAATCACAGTAAAACATAAAAAACTGTGAAATTAAAGTGTCCATACCTAATTTTAATTGCACAAACGTTCCTACATAAGTAAAAACAGGTAAACCAGATCCACAGATGCCCCCTTTTCCATCCAGACTACACTACAGGGAACAGTCATGTTTGTAGTCCAAGGGCCTGGACCACACTATAGAAGAGCTAATACTCTGAAAGCATTTAGAGAAGTACTGCTCACAGGGACACTGGCATTTTGGCAGGACAAGTGTTCCTTATACTTCCCAGTCATTAGTAACCCAGATGAGTTATCCCCGATTTAGAGGAAGAACAGAAGACCAGGCAGCCCTAAAGGACACCCATAGCAAAAATCTACAAGCGGAAATAAAAACCCCAGGAAGGGAAAACAGCAGAGAAATTGTGCAGGATCTTTATTACCTCTCAACACCCTCTTCTTGGTATCTTCCATTCCATTCCTCACCCTTCCCGTGATTAACTGTGCTGACCACTTTAGAAGAACCCCTCCCTCCACTCAGGCTGCCTTTCCCCACCCTGGGTTCTTAACAAAAGACCAAGCTTTAGTTCTCTTACCAGAGGAAGAGCTAGCTGCCTTTGCTGGCTCTTCACAAAATTAGCAAAAACCTCATCTATAGAAATAACTTTCCCAATGATAAGCAGGCCATCAGGACCCCTAGAGAGACTTCATTCAGTACCTGAAACTGCCTCGGTGGTGCTGTTCTTTGTAAATATATTTTTATTGATTCCAGAGAGGGAGAGGGAGAAACATCAACCATAGATTGGCTGCCTCCTCACGCCTCCTACTGGGGATCAAGCATGTGCCCTGACCTGGAATCAGACCT